TCTGAGACATGATGAACAGACAAGTTTATAACCGAGTTCCTTCTCCAAGTATTTTAAATTTTTTGAGAGATGCTTTGGTCCAAGAATGGGATCAGATTGACCAGATGGAGATTCAACATCTAATAGAGGGTATGCCACGACGCATTGAGGCAGTTATTCGCGCTCGTGGGGAAAATACCCAATATTAATTTGGTATAGTTATTAGTTTATTTGTTGTTTGATTTGTTTATAAAATTATGTATTACTCTGGCAAAACAATAAAAAAATTTAGAATGTTGCATTTTCCTTAAACCGTCACATTTCACAAACAAATTAAGATATCGGGGTAAGTAAGAAAACAAAATGTTGGAAACAAATCAGTCTTCGTGATAAAGTTAATTGTGTGCAGATCTACTAGCGCAGAATTCACTTACAGGGTGTGTCAGAAGTAGAGGAAAAAATAGTTTTCTTTTCCCCCCTGTATATCCGGCGAGTACTAAATTACTTTTAGATGTCCGAATAATAATCTTAAAACTACAGTATTTTGTCTAAAAGCTGCTGAAAACTTCAAATAAATTAGCCTCCGCATTTGAAAGTTAGAGCATTTTTAAATAAATCATTATTTTGAATGGATCGAATTTTAAGTCAGTGAGTGTATTACTGGTATTTTTAAAAGAAGTAGTTGACAACCTCGTAAAAAATGAAAAACCGTGATGGCAAAAGGCCAGATATGATAATGAAATGATAAAACTTATTTTATGAATTATGATGAAAGTTCTAAAGATCGGCAAGTTATTTTTAAGAAGATAAACAGTTTGATTTGATGTAATTAGTAAGTATTAGCAATTTATTTAAGGACTTTGTTTATCATTGTTTTACTAACCTTATATAATTTCATATTTCATGGATTTTCAATTCTGTTTTAATATTTGAAACAAAAATGTCTGGCCCGGGTATAGTTAAGTATTCTTGAGAGTATTATTGATCAGCTCTAATTGTTTAAATAAGTATTATCCTAAAATTCAGGAAGTTAGATATTCAAATATTAAACCTTTTTTCATTTTCCTTCCGATATTAAAATTTGTCAGAACTGGTTTAAGACTTTAAATTTAACTTTAGATAGTAATACTCACTATCTTTGTGCAGACCATTTTTGCCTAAGTCATTTAGTATGGTTTCCTCAAAACGTAAACTGCTAGTTGGACATTCTGTACCAATTTCATTAGATGATTGTGCATCCAGTTCAAATATACAACCTGAGAATTAGATTTTAGAATAAGTTGAGTCTAAAGCACAAATATAGCAGCATAAGAAAAACAAAAAATTAGTTGCAAACGTAAACTTAATAAAATTAGTGATGAACAATTTGAACGACCCTCGAAACGAAGAAAAACAATAAATAAATAAAAGTAGAGTCAGAAATTTAAGTCCTAAAGAGGAACAGTTGTATTTTATTAATATTTGATAAGAGAAATTGTTCAATGAGACATATGTACACTTTTTGTTTTGTTTTTATAGGAAACACCGAACACCCAACGAAATATGGTCCATTTTTCCAAGAATGGGGGAAACTACCTACTATTCATTTTACCTACAATTGTTATTTAATATTGAACTTATGTATGTTAGTGGTGTTCCTCTGCTCCTCACAACACATTCTTGAAGTCCATACACATGCGTGTCAGGATGGACGAACGGGAGAAGGCAGTCCAGCGCGGTGGGCAGTACGCGAATAGACAGTGGCAATACCACAGCAACATTGTAATTGAGAATACTTGATCGTAAATTAAATCAATAAAAAAGCAGTTTAGACCTTTTTATTAGGGATGATACACCCATTATCTTTATATCAGAAGTGAGATCACTACGTGTACCGCGACTAATAGACTGTAATTAGTAATTTCAGTAGAAGTTAGTGCTAGTGATAATGGCGGACGAAAATCCTAAACCTCATGATAGTGCGTCAGCCGAACATAATGTCGGTCGATGTTAAAGACAATGTGAACGGACATAGTTCAAAGCATGCTAAATTTCAGTGGCAGGAAACATTAATAAACTTTGTAGCAGCCCAGGAGTAATAAATTGCTGATTTAACTCAACATTCCAAGATGGCTACGTAGCCGTTCGCTAAGCCAACGCCCAGTGTTGCAGGAGCATATTAATCTAACACGCAAGCGCCGACATTCGCGCCTGTGCACTGTTTTCGACTTACCAGCTATGACCCTGACGACAGTGCATATTCCATAAAAGAATGGCTTAAGTGACGCTAACCAAAATAAAAGACGTTAGAAATAACTTCTTCATAGTCGCTAAATCGAGCCAAGCATCTAAGAATCGCGGTTATTATTATTGTTGTGACTGGCGACTTCTTTCTCGAACGTGGCAAGACTTTGTGATGACCTAATTGTTGCATTCGCTAACAAGAAAACACCAGCTGCTCGTGAATACAAGGATACGCTTCAATGCCATGATTGTAACTCACGGTGTGTGATTGTTAAAATCAAAAATTGTGGATCAACACTAAATTTTAATAAAGCTTTGCTGTGGCATTCAGTTCCGGTTTAGACAGTTCAAAAGCCAAACTTCGAACGTGAGTGGTGAGCTCATAAAATTACTTGCCGAATTTGATGTGATCCGTGTTGACTTGAGTCCCCGAGAATGACGAAAAATGCAGAGGTAATTAGAAAACCAAGAAGTTAGTTTAAAAGAAAAGCCGTCGCCAGCATACCAACAAATAATATCATGTCGGAGTACATAACAGGCGAGTATATTTAACACAGTTATTACTCCTAAACAAGGAAGTCTAAAAAACATTGGTGTTAAAAAAGTGACGCCATCTGAATTCGACACCGATAGTCATGTTATTATACTGTGAGCAAGCTCAGTCGTTAAAATTCCTTATTGATAGTGATGCTGACATGTCAATAATTTAACATTCCGTAGTAAAAATATTAAAAGGAACGATTAGGCCAGCTGATGCATGTGTTTTTGTTATGAATTGGAACTGAAGATGTATCGATCTTTGTGATTTTGCCGACTATTACATAAGAGGTCGTTCCAAATAGTGTGATTCCAAAAGTTGTTGATATTATTATTAGATGCAATGTCATATTCCGACCTTGTTTGAGAAAAATGTTAACACGATTGAGTTACATCAAGACCTTCTCAACATTCCGAAAATATTTACAATAAAAAATTGAACGATATGAAAATTAATCAATTAGAATTAAAAGACACTTTAGAAATACAAGTGAAGAAACTTTTAACATTTTACAAGAATAAAATTCCGGACCACATAACTACCGGAAAAATGTCAATTTAGATTAAAATGCAGTACTTCAGTAGCGAATCAACGAAGGCGATTAGCGTATCAAGACAGAATTCGGCGAAAGAAAATTATACAGTGGAATTATCCGCAGAAGTCACTCAAAATGATGGTGGATGAGGTTTTCTGGGTTTTCCTCACCTGTAAGTCAAATGGCACCATCGATCATCTTTAAGTCACCCCGGAGCGCCACGACAAATAAAATGATAGCTGTTCCTTCCCCACACACGCTCAGTCTGCTCCAGAGGTGAGATTCACTTGTGAGGGGATGAATTGGGAAGAGTATTAATAGCAGGGGAGCCCAGAGTGCTAAATTTGTAGTGTCTCCAGCGGTTAGAAGATCTATTGGATTGCAAAAATTAGATGCTAAATAAGAAAAAAGCTCCTATGAAGTTTACCATTTTAGTGGTGGGGAGAGCGTGTATAAATTTTTAAAAATGTAAAAAAAAAGTGATAAAAAAAAATTTTCGAGCGCGTCAGATTTTGGAAGTGTAGATAGCCCACAAACTTCTGTCCACGGAGAAATATTAATCTGCCGGATCGCTCGTAACGAATAGCGGTATAAGCAAAAAAAAATGTATTTTCTCCGGCGTGTCAGTAATTATAGGGACTTATTATTTAAGTCGTCACAAGTTTCCTCTTACTTAATCTGACGATTTGGACGTGACTAAAAGTCCCTAACCAATTTTTGCAAATGCAAAAAAAATTGTGACTTTGCAATACTCGCGCGCGTCAGATTTTCATACAGATGATTCAACTCGACAAACTAGTAGTACCCAGCCTTAATCTGACAATTTTGTAAAGGAATTTGTTAAATCTGACAATGTAAAAGAATTAAAAAAAAGTTCATAGCAAAAGCCATTGCTGTAATTTTCTGCAAATTCCGAACGCTCTAAATTTTGTTTATTACACTATTGTTGAGCTCTTTAAGCTCAAAAAGATAGCTAATCTATACTATTTTGAGCAAAAAAGCTCGATAAAAGTTGGATAAAACACAATTTATTGAATTTTTAAACTGTCATAACTTTTGAATAAATCAACAGATTTTCACTCAGTTTACGGTAATTGATGTTTTTTTTGAGTTGTATAGAGCATATTGAGAATACTTTTCAATAAAATTTTAGGTTTTTTTTATTTTTATAATTAGTTTCTTTATTTATTCAAATTACAAACAGTGAGAAAGAAAAAAATACTTATGAAAGAGTATTAAAATTCATTGGTCTTCGTCAGAGGATTCCTCTTCGACCTGGAAGTTCAAGTCCGACACATCGTTTTCGTCAAAATTTTGGGAATCTGCGGCTGGAAATAATAATGATATTTAATAACAATTTTGATTTCTTTTCTGGCGTTTGTACAGCAATAAAAACATACCTGAATGAAATGTCTCCAAAAATATCGGGTGAAATAACAATGTCTTCGTAGAGATCTGGAATCTGTTTCCCAGTGAACCAATTCATCTCCAACTTCCCTTCGACATTTTTCCAGCCAAAATCAGTAGGTGACATGTCACTTACGAGGCGAAAGTGTGCATTCCGCCCTAAACAAGCAATATACTTCGTCCTTAGTAAATGTTGACGCAGTTCTGATTGACAAGGAGGCAAGTTGCAAGCATCATAGTTACGAACATTGAGAGAAAATGGTTGGGTGGTGTCTGTAACTCTATATGTTTTATTGAATATTTCAACTCTAGCCCGATTCACACTTGATAGTTTTTTAAGCCGTATAAATGACAAATAAAAGATTCCATTGTTACCAACGATGCCTCAATGTTGTAAGTCTCTGATCCTAAATCAGCGAACGCCTTTTGAAAAACTTCTGATTTCATCATAATATCAAAAGGTTTTTTTTTACCTCGTCTATAAAAAGCAGGATTATAGTCACATCCTGTTAGCGCATGCAACGCTGGTAATGCTTGAGAAACTGGTAAGCCTAACTTAGAAAAAAGAGCAGAAATGTTGACATTTCGACGTGCATTACCTACTCCGAGATCAATCCATATTTTTAATTGTGCTTGCAAATGTTCCATATTACTCAACATAATTACAACAATATCTGTATCAGAAGTTCTTATAGTAACTGTAGAATCTTCTTTAAGTTGACATGTGAAAAATACAATTTTTGTATCCGCTTCTTCGTGGTCTTGGCAAGATAAATCGTAATTAACTGTTCGCGTCACTTCATTATTAGTAGCAGTATACACATAACATAAATCGTGATCGAGATATATTGTCTTGTTACCTATAATCGTAGCCATCTCACGGTCAGTCCAATGTTCTATCAGAAATTTCACAAAAGCTTCTTTAAACTTGATATTTTTTAGCTCTTTTGCAAAATCAGCAGTTCTCTTTTGTTGTGGACCTGAGATATAAACATGTTTGTCCTCTGTATAACCCCGAAGAGTATGCTCATAACCTTTAATTGAGGGGGTAAAATATCGGTCAAATATAATAGCCACGTGGCTAGCAGGGTAATTAACAAGACTATGAAGAATTTTTTTTGACAAATCTCCAAAACTACGCGGCACTTGCTTAAAAGTATTCAAAAAGAAGAAACCATCTACCACAAAATAATCCAATTGATCTGGTGGTTGTTCCACTTCTTCAACCGTTTTTTCTAATTCCTGAAGGAGTACAGACTTAACAGTCTTATTGATAGAACCATCTATATGGCATAATGATAACGGGACAGGAGTTATAGGAAAACAAAGTACTTTGTCGAGGTCTGGTTCTAGTTTAGTTTCTAATGATAGACCTAATAAACGACCAAATAAATCTCGCTGCAGTTTCACTTCATGCACTGTTTGCCTTATTTTTATGGATTTTTTTTCTTTAAATTTGTAAAAGTCAAAACAGGATTTTTTTTTAAAGATCTGTGGAACCTTTCAGAATCCGTATTGCATTCAGTAATGAACTTATCTCACAGAAATTCGCCAGAAGAAAGGGCATTTAACAAACTTGCGGCAATTTCTGGAGTGGAAGCTTTTCCAGTTGAAATATTGTACAACTGATCTTGATCAAATGAATAAGAAAATGGATTGGCGGTTTGTTTGATACTTTGCAAGAAATTTTCCATCAGCTCACGATTTTTTTTCATTCGATCCGGTTTCAAGTCGGATGCAACATCTTGAAGATTCTTGTTTAAGCCAGCACGAGTTAAAACATGAGAAATGATTCTAATGCGAGCACCGTGATTCCTCGCCCACCGTTGTCGGGCAGAGATTGAACTAGTTAAATTCGTGATACCTGTTAGCCGACGTGCTGCATCTCCATTGATTGTTTGTTCTAAAGTTAAATCTACCGGAATTCGAGAAAAAGGCTTTATTGTTCTCCGAATACCAAAAGAACCCCTCGATACATCAGCTCGAAGACCTGGATGGGTGTAATTTATATGCTGTAGTTGGTTTAAATAGTAAACTAACCACCGACTATAGTTGGGCTGATTGTACATAAAAAATAATGGTACGATTTTTCCGAGTGCATAACAGTATAAATCCAAGTCTCCAACTCTAATACTTTTAATAAATATATGATAAAGGTTTATTAAATCTATGTACATAGCGTAAAATTGAGCTGTCTTTCCATGTTTCCCTTCCAACGTATCTGTCGTGTATTGATCATAATCTGTTATAATTTTTTCGGTTTCACTATGCACAATCCGAGGAGAGATATCTTTATGCTCCATAAATTCTTTTAAAAATTCTGTCACTGAGTCGTTTATTGTCACATTCTTATTTTCTAAATATGTTTCAAAATGAAGTTGCTGAAGTGATAAAGATACTAAAGAGTGCAACCGTTTACACCGATTGTAATTTTTTCCGGCAATGAAACCAGCAACTGAACCATCGGCAATTAAATCACAATCAATCATAATATTAGTTAGGCCACACTCTTCGATAAATGTTCCAACTGCTTTAAAGAAAGTCATTTCAATATGAAAAGCTCCCATGTGAATAAAAACGTTGTCAAATTTAGGTGATTCTTGAGCTTGTATACAATAACTTATTCTTGCTATGGCTAAGTCATACGTAACCTGGATGTATGGAGCTTGACATTCTTGGGCTACCTTTTGACTCTGCTCAAGTGTTTTCAAAACTGTTGAATGGTTTGTCGGTGTGTCATTTATTGGAGTAAGATAAGAAACAATTTGAACCGGTGAGTTATCAATAATTATTTTACTATGATAACCGACCCACATTGGAGTATCAGTTATTTTAGTTATATGTGACATCTTCCACGCAATATCTAATTGTTTTACCTCTTGCAAATTTATTGGAGCTTTATTTAATGCTAAAATATCGAGATGATTCCTTGTCGCCACCTTTAATTTTTTTGTATACGGACGCATGTCATAAGTTATTTCATTAAACGATCGTTTTTTCTGTTTACGTTTTCTTTTTTACTAGATATAGATTGTTCTTCAAGCGTAGATTCTTCATATGTAGATTCTTCAAGAGTCGATTCTTCAGTAGGTGTAGATTTTCCATTTGATGTTGATGATTCTTCACTAGGTAAACTTGCATCAGAGTAGTTATCAATCTGAATTGGATTAAAATCTTGTATATCATTTCCAGTTGGAGGAATTCCATGCTCATCCTGAACTCTATCTTGAAAAATTATTCCATGAAGTGTATCCTTACCATTTAAAGTTTCAATGAAACGATCATAATTATCAAAAGCTACACCGGTATTTAAATCTGGACGACGTTTAATGTCTTCAGGACATACAAAATCACTGTTGACTGTAGAGAATGTTAATGCTGTTTCTAACTCCTCCAAAATTGTGTAAGAGCAGCAATGTCCGTATCGGGACAGTAAATTAACAATTTTTTTATTATTACATAAGCTCTTCACTGCTAGACCCAAACTTATGTGCTTCGAAGTTTTTATTTGATGATTACAAGCGGCGTATACTAGATCTTGCCCGAGCGAAAACTTTGTGAGATCATAATTTTCCTTTTTTTTTTGTCTCGTGATTTTCGTGATAAATGAGAAACATCACCCAAAATAAATGTTTCTAAGAAACATGAGAGAAGTTCTGGTATATAATTACACTCACCTTGAATTAAATCTTCAGCTGTACAGTCATCGGGCAATGGTGTTCTTACACAATCAATTGCTTCTTCCCGTAATCGCAATGCTACAGTACGAATCGTTTCTTTCAAAGTCATACTCTCGAATAATTCTTTGTGCTCAACAAAATTAGCAGAAAATGACGCTAAAAAATTTTTTTTCTCAGCATATATAATTTTTATTTTCTTATCAAAAGTCCTATCCAAGTGACGTTCCGAAAATGACGAAATTCGAATAGAATTGGATACTAGCTCAGCTTGTTCAGTTAATAACCTAAGGTATTCACTCTTAACCTTCTCGTAAAATAGACATTCTTTGTTTTTAATGACATACTCTTCTAACATTTCACATAATGAAGAATAGGCTAAATTTCGTACTTTTTTACTTTTTATATAGTCACTTTCTTCTACCGCAGTCAGATCTCGCAGATACTTATCTTTACAGCACTTATGATAACATATTTCAGAGTCATTAGCATAGGAACTAATTTTCTCTAACATATCCACGTCGTAGAATTCAGTAGCTGCGCTTTTTAAAGTGTCAATTGTTGTTTTCCTGTTGACAGCTATAGGTACTTCTCGTCCCTTAAGTCGTTTACGTGATTTTTCGCAAATAAAACATATCTTGGGCGACAAATTTGCCTTATTACTGTCGTTATCTAGACCAATGTAATCATTCGAATCCTCGAAATCAGCTTTCTCTGCAATATTGTCTCTGAAAATATTTTACCATGAAAAATTTGTATTTTGTAAATTAAATAATATTTTTGGAGCTTTTTTTGATTTAGAGATTTCATTTTTTAATCTGCGACTTCGGAAAAAAATTTAAACCAATGATTTACGTAACATTTAAATCTATAAAATGGGCTATGTTAATTTGTCAAACACCAATCTGATATTTTACTATAAATCCGATGTGAAGTTGAAAATTTACAAAAAAAAACCCAAAAATGTTCACTTTCCGAATTTTTTATGGTCAAAAAACAGTAAATTAATCAAATTTTCAGTAATGTTAACACTTACTTGTCTGTTTGTATATCAGCATCCTGAGTTGCTTGAGAAAAACCAGAGACTGAATCATCCGTTGATGTACCAGCAACCTAAGTTGCTTGAGAACCAGAGATTGAATCATCCGTTGATGTACTAGCACTCTGAGGTGCTTGAGAAAGGCCAGAGACTGAATTGTCTGTTGATATATCAGCAATTTGAGTTGTGGAAACAACTGGTATTCTTACCGCAGTATATAATTTATAACACTGAGCATGATAATAATCGTTTAAGGATTTTTCACTTGATAAATGTACGTCACTGTAATTACTACGTGATTTTCTTCGGGCCGGTTTGGTTCTACGAAACTCCATAACCACTAAACATTTTTTTAATATTTCTGGCGTAAATTTTATTAACTTATTACTTATTGCATCTTGTGCACAAAATACACAGTGTTTCTTATCGGCACTGTCACTCATTGTCGTTATAAATAATCATATGCATTCACTGTAATTTATTCATAAAATATTTGTTAAAATATAATAAGCAAGATACGATGTTATACGTACATAAACACGAACGCACTGTTGTGATCAGCTGTCCAAGGCATCATGGCGGCCGAGAGTAGTGTATAGAAGTGCGAGAGAGAAAGACAATAAAAAAGAGTGAGAAAGAATGAGAGTCGTAGAGCGGGAAATATATAATGCATATACAACGGTTTATTTATTATTTTCGAGGTTTCGGCTTATCGAAATCGTCAGATTATAATATTTTTATACTTTTTAAGTAATTTCCTTTAAAAAAAAAAAAAAAGAACCGCGCTCGAACATTTCAAGGTAACGATTTTTTTTTGCAACTTTGAAATTCGCTTGATCACTTCCGTCACGGTCAAATCGTCAGATTTTTATAATAATATCATTTTCTGTATATTATTAACTTAAATTGTTTTAATCTGACGCGCTCGAGCAGTTCTAAAATTCGATTTTTTTTTACTAATCTGATCAATGGCTCAGAACATACGACACTATATTGAGGGCTCATACCTGCTGAAAGTACCTAACAAGGTACAAGGATTCTCCCTTACTATTAAACTGCCACGCTTGAACCAATCCCAAAATCCCCTCTTGGGCTCCCCTACTATAATATTGTTTTATAAAATATAAAAGTCCTATTGTGCTAGTAATAAAATCAAGTATTTAAGAACACATTATTGCTTTTAAAATATTTTACCACGTTGGACATGAAGTCAAGCTTTTATCAAATGGAAATTGAAGAAACTTCCACACACGTAATTTCTTTTGTTACTTGACCTAATACCGACCTATTACCGTACGACTGATTGTAAATCAAGATAACATGTTTTACAATCTAGAGACTCTTACTATAGTGGAAGCGGTTGAACTCTTTCGTGTGTATCTGTACAGTGTGCATTTCAAAGTATATACAGACTGTAATTCAGTTCGAGCAACAGCTGTAAAGAAAGAATTATGAACGCACGTCGCGCGTTGGTGTATTAAGTTATAGAATTAAAACTTTTCTATTGAGTACCACCCTGGACATAAAATGTAACATATATAGGGGTCTATTCATAGGGGTCTATTCTAATAGACCCCATAGACTATTAAAGCAAGTGGATTGTGTAAGCGAGTTAAAAGTGTGCCCGTTAAAAACAATAAACAAACAAACAAAGTTACCCAGGGTAGCCAGTTCCCCTGTAAATAGTTGGTAACAAGTTTGTTTGACCTCGACAGTGGCGCGCTGAGCGCGTTATGATGAACTATAATTCGGCACAGTCGGTAAAGTAGAAAACTACTAGGTAAAGCGATTTAAAAAATGGCGGGCTTTAAAATTTATGAAATTTGAAGTAATTTCAAGTAACATTTTCCTATTTTACAGCTTTTACTTACAATAATTGAAACAATCAATAAGTAAAATGAATTTTTATTGTAAGTAAATGCTGAAAAACGGAAAATGTCACTTGTTTTAAATGAAAAATAAAAACATTTGTAATAAGTTTATTTTATTTAGAATAGGTAACTATATCATTACATTATATTAAACATCATATTCACAATATGTTGAAAAATGTTCAAGGGTTGAAGTTAATTTAAAAATATACGTTTACACTAATCACGATTATTATTGTTATTAATATTATTATTTTATATCTATAAAATTACCTAATATCACAAAATTACACATTATCACAAAAAGTACACATTAAAAATAAATTGAGTTTACTACCTGAAAATTTTTTTATTATTCTTAAGCTCTATTGGGTGTTCCAGTGCCAGAGTTGCTAAAAAATAATTAATTAAGTTGAGATCAAAGTTTAAGAAAAATTTAAAAATAGTCACTTGTCAAATAAGTATTTAATTTTGTCATGAACTACATAATTTTAAGGAATAGGTAACTTTGGCATGTATAGAAATGATTTTAAAACAATAACAAAAACCAGTTGTTTTGAAATTTTGTTGGTTAGGTAACTCTGGCACTAAACCACTTTACTATCCCTTCACCCATCTATTTCGGTTCATTGTAGTTGCAATATTCATTCCAAAAATCTCCATACTCAGGAATAACTAAAACAAAAAAAAATAAAGGCGCAGTGTGTATCTTAAAATTAAACTAAAATTTTGAAATAAATTTGTTTCTGATAATTTTAAAGCAGTCTTAATTGTATTTTTAGATTTTAATAAACTATTTTTTAATCTTGAAATTTTGTTTTGCTGCTCTCGATTAATATAATAAAATTTTCTCTTTCTAGGAGTTAAATTACCAATTGTAGTTGCATTAATTTGATTTAAAATACCAGTTCTTACACGTGGTTTCTTTATTAAAGGTTCCTCAACACATTCAATTCTATCATTAAAAAAATCTAGCTTTCTTTTAGCTGCAGTTATATTCGAAACAGAAGGTTTAATCAAAACATTACTAATTACATTTATTTTTGCAAGAGAATTTGATGAAGGTAGCTTTGAAAAATTTTCATCTAATGTAATATTATTATTAGTAGTAATATTCTCTTCTAAAGGCGCTAAAGGCAAGGCAAATTTAATGAGCTTAGTAGGCAAAGTGCTGGTGAACGCATTCTCGTCAAAATGATCCTCGCACTATAGTTTTTTTTAGATGTGTAGGGAATATTTAAAATATCAAACCATTTCTCTCTAAGGGTAATAATGGACGGAAAAGTAAAAAATTTCTTATTAAGTGAATGTAAATAATATTTGCTTCTGCAATTTGGAGCAGCACATGATAATGTGAATTTATTATAAGTTAATGACATCGTTAAGGACCTCAGTATATTTTTACACCTATAAATTACTTAAATTTAACTAAAACTAAATTAAAAATAAGATTAATTAAATTTTACTCACCTACATTTTCCACGACTGTCATGTTTTAGTGTAACATAACCTAATTTATTAGCAAAGCCAGATTTACACCACCTCATAATATTCAAATGTAGCTTTAACTTTATAAATTTATAACAATTATCCCTGTATTTGATCATTAAATTGTATTAAAGTGATATTTAAAAGATTGCATTAGTAAAATTATTGATTTCTTTAAAATTTATTCATTTTTTAATTATCATATGGGTGTAAAAACGGCTTTTATTTAGTGCTCGCAGCGCGTGAAGCGCGATATGATAAACTACAAACAAGGAAACAATTCCCGCCTATTAATCAAACCTTCTCTTTTTAGTTTTTCTATGAAGTTACCCATAAGCATACTCTCCTAGATTTCCAGCAAAGTGATACGATTTGTCATAAGATAATTAATAAGCCGCTCTTTGACATTGACCTACCTAAACGTTAAGAAGGACATAGGTACTCATAACCAAAACAAAACTTTGGAATAGTGTGGGTTCGTCGCAGCGCGATTGTTTATTATGACTTTATATAATGATGAGTCTTCACATATAGGATAGAACAAGGTATTCAGAAACTATTTATTTATTATTTTGTATTGGACGAAAATGGAAGAGGCCGTCGTAGTAGCAAAACAACACATGAAAATAATTGACGTCTGTCAAGTCAAGGTCAACGAATCAATGAAAAATTAAACTAGATGTTGGGACACATTATTTAAGGCATGCGATATTGTGGCTATTGAAGATTCACAGCTCGCAGGTAGAAGAAAACTTAGGCATAAATGAAAAGGGCCTTTACACTGTTCGAGAGGTATTACCACATGAAATATATCAGCTTCACAAAAAGCGACAGCGAATAACTGTAGCTGCTCAAGATCAGTAGCTATGGTCATCGAAATAATTATAAAAAAGGTGAGTGGATATCTTTCAATATTAAATTAAAAAAAAATTGTTTAGTGTTAGGGTGGTAATCCCACCAAATTTTCCTGAATAAATTATGATAATAAAGTAGCACCAGTGTTTGGTATTGTAGCACTAGTGTTTAGTGTTAGGGTTGCAATCACACCAAATTTAATTAAAGAAATCATATTATGAAAGTAGCACCAGTGTTTGGTGTTGTAGCACTAGAGTTTAGTGTTGTAGCACTAGTGTTTAGTGTTAGGGTGGCAATTCTACCAAATTTTCCTGAATAAATTATGATAATAAAGTAGCACCAGTGTTTGGTGTTGTAGCACTAGTGTTTAGTGTTAGGGTTGCAATCACACCAAATTTAATTAAAGAAATCATATTATGAAAGTAGCACCAGTGTTTGGTGTTGTAGCACTAGAGTTTAGTGTTGTAGCACTAGTGTTTAGTGTTAGGGTGGCAATTCTACCAAATTTTCCTGAATAAAATATGTTAATAAAGTAGCACCAGTGTTTGGTGTTGTAGCACTAGTGTTTAGTGTTAGGGAGGCAATCCAACCAAATTTAATTTAAAAAATCATGATATTAAAGTAGCACCAGTGTTTAGTGTTGTAGCACTAGTGTTTAGTGTTAGGGTGGCAATCTCACCAAATTTAATTAAAGAAATCATGATATTAAAGTAAAACTAGAGTTTAGTGTTGTAGTACTAGTGTTTAGTGTTAGGGAAACAATCCCACCAAATTTAATTAAAACATTAGTGATAATGTTCATAAGTCGTAACAGTAGTTCTGTTTTCGTATTTTGTAATTCCAGATATATGTGGCGCGAGGACGCACCAATTGCAGGATGGCCGTGTTAGCGGTGTTCCTCTGCTCCCCACCACACATTCTTGAAGTCCATACACATGCGTGTCAGGATGGAGGAGCGAGAGAAGGCAGTCCAGCGCAGTGGGCGGTACGCGAATAGACAGTGGCAATACCACAGCAACATTGTAATTCAGAATACTTGATCGTAAATTAAATCATTGAAAAAGCAGTTTAGACCTTTTTATTAGGGATGATACAACCCCTATGTTTATATGTATGTATTTACTATATAATAAATAATTAAAATATATGTTTCAAATATTTCAATTTAATGTAAATATTTTTTGTTTATATTTTTTGGGGTTTTATTACGAAAAAAAAAAAAACTAATG